AATCTAATAATACAATGCTATAACTCGAAGATTTCATAGTCTGCTAGAACTTTTAAATAAAAAATATAGATTCAAATTGATAAAAATATTTTGTATTTTTCTTCCCATTCTATTTGATTCCTATTTAATATTTAATATCGATTTGCTTTTTTTAACTTCTTCATCTTGAATGCAAAAGCCCCTATTTTGTAATTTTTAACGATATAACAGTATCAGTTATATATTATTGTCATGGCAGTATTTTGATCATATACATATAATACCTACACAATGACAATGTAACGATACCATCATTGTCATTAAGAATTGCAGAATAATACAAAATAAGAGCTAAGGTCCACGATCATGACAAAAAAGATTGGACGGAGTGTTTTCAGAAAAGGTTGAAGGAATAATCGAATTAGTGGTAAGGAATAATCGAATTAGTGGTTGAACTACACGTTCAAGTAAACTTGTCAAGTATGCTTGCGCAAGTCACTTGTGCAAGCGTATTTAATAAGTTTAGGCCGACCACATACGTTTAAGTAAATTTGCACAAGTGGCTTTGCGCAAGCATACTTGACAAGTCTACTTGAACGTATGTGACCGATCTTAGGGCACTTCAACTAAACGATACCGATAGAGATATATATAGATATATATACAGCGCACTTCGACTAAATTCGCTCAAATGCTTCGAATATATTTGGTTTTATTCAAGTATTATGTGAGTGTAGTGTTGTAATAAGAAAAGAAAAAAAACTCAGGAAAAAAAACGGAAACAATAAAATATTCTCTTTGAATTTCCATGGCTTAAGGGAAAAAACCGTTTAATGTTAATGTTTATTAAAATTGTTTTATTTGAAGTTGCAAAAAGCATTGCAAGTATTGCTTTGTTTAATGTTGCATTGCTTTATTTACAATTTATATTATATTTACAATATATAGAGATTATCATATCTAAAGTTAATGAAATGAAATCGAATAGTTTATAGAAATTTTTTTATTCTAGTTATCAAGTTCTTTTGAACGTTTCCACCTTCACAAAAGTATTCATTGTAACTTTAAGCTTATATATACATTTTTTAATTGTTTTTAAATGCTTAATGTATTTTGTTTTTTATGCTTAGCTTTAAAAGTGCTAAAAAATTGCAGTAATGATATTTTTATATTTCTATAATTACTTATATTTTATTATTCTATAATAAAATGTCTTAAAAAAAAATTTTAACAGAAGTGTTTTATATTTTGTGTTATATTAAATGGAAACTGTTAAAAATAGATTGGACGAGAGCAAAAGAAAATGAAGTACCATTAAAAAAAAAACGTTTTTTTCATGCTAGGTTTTTTCCAAAAAAAATACCGGAGGAGAAAGGTTAATTCTTTCCCAACGATTAAAATTTCCCAGGAAAATACAACACTATAGGTGCGTTCGGAGAGGTGCTATTTGTGTCATTCTATCTTCATCATTTATTAGACATAAAACAAGGATAGAATGACATAATAGCGCTAATAGCATCTCCCCGAACGCACCTTATATATGAGTATATATGAGTATAGTATATGTGTAGTTATCACCATGCTATCACACAAGAAAAGCATAAACAAATAATACTGAAATGATTCGATCTGCATCTGATCAGGAAGATTTCTCCTTACCGCTAAATTTGGATTCTCCTTGTTCTAATCGGCACTCGGCAGTATATCTGCGTATGCTCTGTCCAGGTTAATTCTTTAATCCATACTACGGATCATTAATTACGCCACTGGAAATAGTAAAAGTAAGCATCAAAAGAGTTATGCTGCCACATCGATTGCCTCCTGGACATCACATGAATATCAGACACATGACATTGTTTCACCAGAAGTGTCGACAGGATTTTTATCCATCCAGTAATGTAAAAAGATTTACAGTACCGGATGAAAAAATACCATGGACAATCGAGTATCCCGAATATAAACCGGTCGCGTATACCGCTGCTGCTCTTAAGGGTAAACCCTGGGCCGATCCAGAAATCAATGAACCTACTTTCAAACCAAAATGGAATGCAGTGGATGGTAATTACTCTTTTTCTATTCATCTAATTGATAAATTCAATTAAAAATTGAAAAATTACGAAAGAAAAATAAAAAATAATAAAGGAAGTCTCAAATCAGTTTCTAGGTTAATATAAACATAAAATAGATCAACATTGCGCATGCGAGACAAGAAGGCTATTCCAAGGCCTGTCCTTTTAGACTAAACTTTTGCCACCAGTTCATCTTTTTTCCTTTTCTCTCCAGGAAGAAAGAAGAGGAAGAAAGATAAACATTTTTGGCTGAACTGGTGTGAAAGTTCAGCCAAAAAGAATAGGCCTTTGGTATAATATATTACTGTCAGTACTGAAAATCTGTAGAGGAAAGGTCCCCTGGTGAAAATTTTGTTCAGAATATTTCATACAATTTTTCAGAATTTCTATATAATTTTATAACTTTCTTACGTTTTTTATATGAATTGGAATACTTCTCAGAAAATCTACATCTTTTCTCAGAATTTTTCATATATGTTAATTAAATTATGAAATATCGTAAGATTTCTAAAATTTTTGTAAGTATAATTTCTGATGAAATGTTATAAAATCTAAAAAATTTAAAAATACTTTTTAAAAATTATGGGATGAGAAATTTCAGAATATTTTAGAATTCACTTGTATGAAAAATTTTGAGAGAAGATGTAAACTTTCTAAATATTTTTGAGTACATCTGAAAAAATGTTCCAATTCGTATAAAAATGAGAAAAATTTTCACCAGAGCTACTATGAGATATCGAGTTCGAATTTTAGGTAAATTCTGGAAGTGTATGAGCAGAATTAAAAATAATAGGTTATTTTAAAGGGAATTTAAAATAAGCTTTGAAATACTGTCATGTAAAATTTAATTCAAATACTATTTTTTCTGAAAGTTAAAGAAATGTAAAAAATGAGCAAATCACAAAGTCAAAAAATTGTGCTCATAATATGAGATACCTCGAGAAATCGATAATAAAGCGCGAAGTACATACAGTATTTTAATTAAAAAATGTTATTTAATGTTTCTAAAATACAAACACAGCCAATGTGCGTGCAAAATGAGCGATACATTGTACCCAGGACTTGTCTAGGTTAAAATCAAATATCAGAAAACACAGAAATAGGAACTCGATGTTCATTCCGATTATTTTTTTTATTACTGTACAATAACATTCATACTTCAACAACGATTGCTACTCAGACAGACTTAGGAACATTAGAAGTACCCTAAAGTATCTCATATTACGAGTTCCACACCTTACGGTTTTACGAATCAAATCTAACTTCTGTAATTAAGCAATTCAACATATCTCATATTTTTCTATTAGTATGATCTTACTCTATCACTACATAAAGAACTTATTGCCAAATATTTACTAATTAAATAATAAACAAGATTTAAAGACTCATTTCAATGAAACTTGAAGACATCCAAATTCTAAAATCTTTTTTTACGACTGCAGACACGATCTAATAATGCATTTTCCAATAAATAATTTTCAACCTAAGAGCAATACATTCATGGTGGAATCAACAAATAGCATTTATTAATTTAGCAGAAACGTTGCTCTCATGTTAGACGCTTATCTCATAATAGTGGGCTTTCTTCTAATAAATGTAATGTAAACGTAATGTATAGACTTTTTAAAATTGGCAGTGTACATTAGAACACAGCCTATGTATTAACTTTTCTTATAAATTATTTAAAATATAATTTTTGATACATAGACAAGGTGAATCGAAAGAGTTTTATGGGTAACTATATCGTAAACGCTGATGGTTACCCCTTAAATCCCGTGGGACGAACTGGTATCGTTGAACGAGGACTTCTCGGCCGATGGGGACCGAATCACGCTGCAGATCCTATCGTTACACGGTGGAAACGCGATAATGCGGGAATTGTAGAAGTAGACAAGCAAACAGGAAAACCCGTGTTACAATTCGTCGCAATACAGAGGCGAGATTCCGGTGAATGGGCCATACCAGGGGGAATGATCGATCCAAATGAGACGATTTCTACCACGTTAATGAGAGAATTCATGGAGGAAGCGCTGAACTTTTTAGAAATGAATGACGCCGAAAGAAAGATCCTTCAAAATTCTATAACGGAATTCTTCACAAAAGGTAACGAGATTTACAAGGGATATGTGGACGATCCGCGAAATACTGATAACTCTTGGATGGAGACAGTAGCTACAAATTTTCACGACGAGGAAAATAATATCGTTGGAAAGTTGACATTGAAGGCTGGAGACGATGCGCGTAATGTAAGATGGATGGACTTAAATAAAGAAATAAATTTATATGCCAATCATAGTGATTTTGTAAATATAGTTGTGTCGCGACGCAAAGCGCACTGGTAAACCACAGTGTATAATTATGATGACCTCATATAGGAGAAAAAAATATTTAAAAAACTAAATAATTATTTTAAAAATTATTTTGTATTATACGTACATTATATGTACACATTATATCTATACATGCACCTATAAAACACTGCAGAGCACAAGAATAATAAACATTACTGTCGTCAAACTATGCTATAAAATCTTACATTTAATACACGTTTTTAGAGATAAAATAAGATCATAATGCAAGAGCTGACAAAATACACATTTAAAAATATCGATTACATGTTGTATTAAGTTTGTAAAGATACAATCTTTAAATTTAAGTCGTTTCCTGTTGTGTATACTTTCATAATTCTTTTCGCGCACATCACAATCACGTTCAAACTTAAACACGAATTAAATATAACATTATATGTATATATATATATATATTATATATATATATACAGTCACTAAACTCACATATTAATATACATGCATACATAATATACATATATATTTATATATATATATATGTATGTATAATATAAATGTATCATAAAAAAAATGTATGTTAATAACTTTAAAAACAAATAAAGAATTTTTAAGCTAAGCGTATATAAATAATAACGCTTCCTTTTCAATAAAAGTTACGGAAATAATATAAAAATGTGGGATTTTGAAATTTATAATAAAATTCTGAATAACACGACAAATCATTGAGCAAGTATTTGTACGAATATCTTGTACCTACTTATGCATGTATAATACATGTAATAATATACAAGAACATACTCCTGTAATAACATAAATAATTGGATTTCAGTAAAACACACACTTTCGGTTAAAATATTACAAGCATAAAACAAGAAAAATTAAACAAATAACGCAAAATAATACCATGTAGGAATTAGTACTTTTTATATAACTATACACAATTTCATTTGAGGTAATAAAAGTATTTTTATACTTTTTTAATATGGCACGTGACAATCACTTGTAGTTATCATAATGGGTGCTTGATTAGGCTTTTTTAAACCGAGAAAATCTAAAAATACTTCATTGGATTTTGTGACTATACCGAATGTGTCACCAACATTTTTTAATAACATGAGATCGCTTAATTTAACGTGTGTATCATTTTCTTCATATTTCTTTGAATCTAAATTCTTTAAGTTTATGTTCGATAGAGTAGAAATATTTTTTTTCGATTGAGTTTCAGCTTTTTCTAAATCAAGTGCATGTTGCGCTTGTACCTGACCCAATTTTGCTGCTCTGGTGAAATAAGTGCGCGCAGTATCAATATCAATTGGTAAACCGCCCTTTCCTTGAGCATGGAAAACTCCCAAATTATATAACGCATCGGCATGGTCATGGGCCGCGGCATCATTGTAATATTTTGCAGCCTGTAGGCAAATTATATTTATATATATTTTTTTTGCAAGTATATATATATATATATATATATATATATCTTTTCACACTTTCAAATCATCTATATTTTTAAATTTCATATAAATGTCTAAATTATCTTTTTTTATCTTTATGCAAAGATAAAAAAAAAGATCGAAAAGATTTTTAAGTAAATGAAGTATCTAAAGTTGTTTCTTGCATTTCTGAATTTTTAGTATTATTTAGATATTACAGTGTACCTTTGCTTGGTCTGCCAAAGTCCCAATGCCTAATTCGTAACATAGACCTAAATTGAATATGCTTCCGGGAGATGATAATTTAGCACCCGCAGAGAAATGCATTAAAGCATCGGTATAACGTTTTTCTTCTAAAGCTTTAATACCAAAACGAAGTTCATATTCTCCTACTACTATATTATGAGTTTTTGTAAATTCATCAGAAGCCTCTTTGAATGCCTAAGGATATAGAAAATTGATAAAATCTATATGTATAAATATAAACCTTTACACTTAGTCCCTTTACACATAGGAAATTAAATATTTAAAAAATTTTTAAGGAGGTTGTAAGAGTATAAAACACATAATATTTATGCTTTAAACAAACTACATACATGTGAAAGTTGTGTTCACAATATTCTGTTTTTATAGAGCAATACATTTTTATATATTCTTTATTTTATTTGATGTTAATTTTATTGTTAAAAACAAAAATTTTTAAAATAATAAAAATTTAAATTTTTATATAAATTTTTTTATATAAATATTTTAAATACTAAAAATGACATGCAAAGTTTCATTGAGATTCATAATTAGTTTATAACATAAATATTTCGTTTATTTAACAATTACTGAACAATTAATATGTGCATCTTAATATAACTTTTTACACAAATATTTTTGAATGAATTTTTTATATTAGGTGTTGGAATTAATTCGTAGCGTTTTACAAGTGATGGGAAGTACTTTCATTAATGTATTTTTTAATGCTCATGTGAAATAAATAACATTCTTTCATTAAAAAACGCTACGAATTAATTCCAACACCTAATATATATTTTGAAAATATAAAAAAAATTGAGATTTTTATTATTATTTTATAATACAGATATATTTCTATCAGAATACAAATTAAAAAAATATTACTTTTTATTGAAATAACTCAATATTCTGTTTTTATAGAGCAATACATTTTTATATATTCTTTATTTTATTTGATGTTAATTTTATTGTTAAAAACAAAAATTTTTAAAATAATAAAAATTTAAATTTTTATATAAATTTTTTTATATAAATATTTTAAATACTAAAAATGACATGCAAAGTTTCATTGAGATTCATAATTAGTTTATAACATAAATATTTCGTTTATTTAACAATTACTGAACAATTAATATGTGCATCTTAATATAACTTTTTACACAAATATTTTTGAATGAATTTTTTATATTAGGTGTTGGAATTAATTCGTAGCGTTTTACAAGTGATGGGAAGTACTTTCATTAATGTATTTTTTAATGCTCATGTGAAATAAATAACATTCTTTCATTAAAAAACGCTACGAATTAATTCCAACACCTAATATATATTTTGAAAATATAAAAAAAATTGAGATTTTTATTATTATTTTATAATACAGATATATTTCTATCAGAATACAAATTAAAAAAATATTACTTTTTATTGAAATAACTTTTAATCCAGATAGTCAACTATCTTTAATTTTTTTGTATAACTTTTAAATACAATTTAGAATAATCTGTAATTTTTTCTAGTAATTCTAAACATATTTCCTTACAGTCTCCTTAAGAGAAATTTAAAAAAAAACAGAGAAGAAATAGATATAAGTCTTCATTTATTCTACAATTTTTGAAACACGCTTCGTCAAATACATATTACAAAATTTAAAATAAATTATATTTTATTCACAAAAGATACAAAAATAGCAAATAACATGAATGATAATATATGTGAGTATTAATTATACGAATTATAAAAATAATATTGCAATAAGTACAATATATATCAAAACAAGTAAATAAATGTTTGCTGAAAATATCTTCAAATTTCTCACAGAATAAATAAGTGGACAAATGCATTCTGTATATTTATTTAATAATCACAAAATCAATATAAGATAGTAATAATGAATTATAATAAATCATTTTTGCATAAAATATATACTTTTTGAAAAAATTATTTAAAAGAAATATAGACTGTTATAATTTCCATCCTAATTCAATTTTTGCCTATGTACCATTACAAAGTATATTGTCTGCAAAACAACATCCTCACCTCTTCAATGGTGATAGGACCAAATGGTTTTTCTGCAGTCCATTGTGAGTTTGAATCTTGGTTAGAGATTTTTTTGCTAGTACCAACACAATTGGTAACTGGCAAGATTTTTCTTGGATGTAAATTTAATAATTGCATAAGTATAAATGAAATTCCAGAGTAATCATGCAATTTGCTTTTTAAGGTCTCAGCGGTATCTCTGTCAAAGATTCTATTGCGGAGACAAAGTGTTTGGCATACAACCCATCCAGCCGCTAGTACACTAGACTAATAAAAATACACTATAAATTACACATTAATAACAAAGACCTTTTTAATAGTGCCAAGAAATGTATAACATTGCAACAAGTTTTTATTTGAAGACATTTATTTACCCAGCCAACAGCTTCTGTCCAACTGTGCTTGGTATTCCAATTAGAATCACGTCTGTTGTTTTTAGTACCGGTACTTTTAGCCGATCCGCAAAAACCTTTATCACAAGTGATAAAAACAGGTGGAAGAAATTTTTGTTGGCATGTTAGGCTTGTTTTGACTTCGTTCTTCGCATTATCCTGCGATGATTGCGAATAAACGTTGGTGCGACAAACACGTCGCTCCAATGTTTCTCGAATTCCACGAAATACAACTTTCCACATTTTTTCTTCTTTTTATATATATATTATGAAGAAACTTACTTTGTGTGTGTGAATACTTAGTTATAAAATAGAGGTAAAGATAGGTAAAGAAAGGTCTACTATCCTCTACTACCAAGTAAAATCTGCGCCGATCTGCGACCTGCGCTATATTAAAAGACAATGCACTTTGAAGCACAAATTAGAGAAAACAGACAGATATCCTTTTCATACCAAATATTCCTAGGCCATTATTCGGCTGTGTTCCAAAATTCACTGCCAGCGCTGAAAATCTACAATTTACGTTACATATACTGTACATTTTCAATACTGACAGTGAATTTTGAAATTCAGCCTTTGATGGCTGCATTCAGCAGAAAAAACAGCATTGCAACTGTGTAAAATTCTTCAATATGATTGGTTTATGCACTTAAATCCAGTGAGGGACTACAAACAAAACCAATCATATTAAAGAATTTTACAATAGTTGTAAAGTTGTTTTCTTTGCTGGGTATCAATCATGAAACTTTATTCCTAGGATGGAAAGTGAAACGTAAAAATTGTTATCATTGAAGTTAATGGAGAAAATTTTATATAGGTTAAAATCTTAATATTTATTCCTGTTCCTAATGTTTGTATTGTGCGCAGGCTAATCTTAAGACACAATATTCTATTGTGTCCTATGCACAATAGAAGGAATAAGGAATTAGAAATAAAGAATAAACAATTTTAACCTATTAAAAATCGGATACATCGGAATACATAGCTTCTGATAGGTTGAAATCATTGTTTCTTATTCCTAATTCCTTATTTCTACTATTGTGCGCAGCTCCTGACTCTTAATCTTATATTTTTAGTAAGTTCGGATCTACAATAGATTTTAAAGCCTTAAGGCAAAAGGAATGGACAAATTACAATCAATTATTCTGCTCGTATTCGACTGTAGTTGATCAATTTCTTACGGCTTAAGATTTAAAACACCTATTGGTTTACTGCTATTTCTATTTCTGTTAGAATATGTAGATCTAAAGCAGTATCCTGATTGGCTCATTGGCTTAAGTTCACGTCTTCGGGTATATCCACATAACTTGCATAGTCGCATAAACATGCATACAAAAAATTATTCAATTGCATTTCTCTTATAAAGTCGCACGTAAAATGTAATTGGATAATTTTCGTTATGCATACGTTTATGCTGCTATGCAAATTTGTATGGATATATCCTTAAGGTTACTATTACAGAAATTTTATTTGCGATAGCCCTTAACCAAGTTGAGTCACCGACGAGATACTATTAAAGACCGTCGGTTTGCTCTAGGCAAATTTTCGTAATTATCAATGGAACCCGAGGGGCCCGGGGATAATTGAAAAACAATGACAATTAATAAAAATTTATGATTATTAACATAAATATTTCGAAAATTTGTGATTTTTTATTATATAAATGCTACGTAAATAAGTAAGCATACTTTTAATGCTATAATATCTTATATATTGCCGAAAAATTGCAATTTTTTTTGTCTGCAGTTATCATCTGTATTGAATCAAACTCTGATTTTAATATTATCAATTTTAAATAAAAATTGAGTATTATTAAATTTTAAACACATGCACATGTTTATGAAACTAATAAATCATGAAATTAGTACCGTACTAGTTACTAGTTTCTTACTCTTCATCACTTAAATTTTAACAAGCACGCGAATTTCCAAGCGACCGTCTTTAATAGTATCTAGTCGATGGCTGAGTGCAAAAAATACAAAGAACACGAACAGACCTATTATGTTCCTAACCTATATGATGAACATAAGATTGAAAAGACCACGCTGTATAGATTCCTAATAATTGTTACGAGCAATTAATACATTTATATAAAGAATTAATTACTTTTTAAAATGGGGAAAAAATCGAAGATTGGAAAGCAAAGAAAAGATAAATACTATCAATTAGCTAAAGAAACAGGTAAGTAATATTATTTGTCCATATGAATTATTAAATTGAAAGCTGAATTATCGTCAAATGCAGTAATATTTTAATTAAACGTTTAGTTAATCATATAATTGTAATAATTACTAAAATTTTGTATTTTATTCAGGTTACAGGTCGCGTGCTGCTTTCAAATTAATTCAATTAAATCGAAAATTTGAATTTTTTCAAAAGTCCAGAGTATGCATCGATTTGTGTGCTGCACCTGGCGGTTGGATGCAAGTTGCTAGGCAAAATATGTCAATATCATCAATAGTTATTGGTGTAGATTTATTCCCAATAAAGCCTATCCCGGGATGTCTCAGTCTTGTGGAAGATATCATGACAGACAAATGTAGAGTTGCTATTTCACGCGAATTAAAAACATGGAAGGCAGATGTTGTTTTAAACGATGGTGCTCCCAATGTAGGAAAAAGTTGGCTTCATGATGCGTATCAACAAGTTGTTTTGACATTATCAGCTCTTAAATTAGCTACTCAATTTTTAAAAGCTGGTGGTTGGTTTGTAACAAAAGTATTTCGATCTAAAGATTATAACCCATTGATTTGGGTGCTAAAACAATTGTTTAAAAAGGTATTAATATCATTTAAGGAATATTTACTAATTATTGTCTATCATTTTATCACTATAAATTTAATTGTAGGTACATGCTACTAAGCCTCAAGCGTCACGTAATGAATCTGCAGAAATTTTTGTAGTTTGCCAATATTATATTGCTCCTGATAAATTAGATCCCAAGTTCTTTGATCCGAAGCATGTCTTTTCTGAATTACAAATAGAAACTATAAATAAATTAAATATTCTTTATCCAGAAAAGCAAAAGAAATCTAAAGCAGAGGGATATCGTGAGAACGATTACACATTATATCATAAAATATCTGCAAAAGAATTTATTGCCTGTGAGGATGCAATAGCAGCTTTGCAGAATGCTTCCGAAATAGTGATAGATGATGAAATTATCGATAAGCATGAGAAAACAACTAAAGAAATTAGGGAGTGTTGTAAAGATATTAAAGTGCTTGGGCGAAAAGATTTGAAACTTCTACTTAGTTGGTGGAAAGCGTTAAAAAAGACACAAACTGAAACAAATGGAGAGAAGAACGTAATTAAAGATGAAATTACTGTCACACCTGCAACTACTAGTCTCGAAGAACAGGAGGATTTGGAAGATGAAGCAATTCAAAAACAGATTGCTGACCTCCGGGAAGCAGAAGCTAGAGAGTTAAAACGCAAGAGAAAGAAAGCTAATAAAGACAGACAGAAATTGAACGAACGTCTCAATTTGAAAATGATTCATAAGAGCGACGAGGGACCTAAATTGGAAAGAGATGATTTGTTTAATTTAAACCAGATTCAAACTTATCAACAATTAGAGCAAGTAACAGATCAAATGCCTGACATCTTAGCGAGTGATGTGGACTCGGACGAGGAAGTCAAACCGAAAACGATTTATTATGAGAAAGATACAAATCATTTGGACAGCAAGGGCTTGTATTATAAATCAGAAGACAGCGAAGAAAGCGATACCGATGCATCAGACGATGAGAGCGAAAAATCTGGATTAGGTATTACATATAAAATATTAACGTTAATGTCAATGTTATTATTGAAATAACCTTCTCTTTTAATTTAGAAAGATTTATATCTTGTTTTTGATTTATTCTTCGAATTTGTTTGAACAAAGCTATATAACGTTACTATTACAATATAGGTTTGGACGAATCAGAGGATGATACTACTAATAAATCGCAGAAAAAACAACAATTTAAAGATCCTGAAAGCAATCCGTTGTTAACTGATTTAGATTTTCGAGATAAAGAAACCAAAAGAGCGCATAAAGCAGCACTCTGGTTTGAGAAAGATGTATTTAAAAACTTAGAAAATGAAGATGATGCAGATTATGAATTAGATAAGATGATAGAGCAGTACAAGAAGAAAGGTGGACATGTTCTCGGAGAAGAGAAGCAAATGCAAGTAAAAGTAGATGAAGAAAAGAAACGAAAACGCAAAATCAGTGAAAATGATGATACTAATTCAGACTATGATGTGGAAGAAATGATGGCACCTAACAAAAAATTGAAAAAAATCGGTGGAAAAGATGGTTTTGAGATAGTGCCGCAAAAAACAGGTAAAGAAGTTTTTGTTTTGGTTACATTGAAAAATTGTTCATTTGACTAAATTAATTTATATAATTATAGTTTATTAATTATATATAACTATAATTTTAGTTTATCTTTAATTCTTTCGGTGAAAAATATATTTAAGTCAAACATATTATATTTGACTTAGGTCTAATTGTACCAACTTACTTTTATTTTAAGCGAAACTTGAAAAACTCTCTTCCCCCTCCCCCTCTCAGTTTAAAAAAAAAGAAAGACTTTTAAGCCTCACTTAAAAATAATGTTGGTACAATCGGATTTAAAATACGTACATTCTTTAACGAAAGACAACTACAATTAAACAATTAAGTCAAATGAACAATTCTTTTCTCAGTGTATATATTTTACTGATTGAGATAATAATTACTGGCAGCTAGTTATATAATTTATTATTATTAACATACATGTTTATTCATGATTAATCAGATAAAAAATCGAAGACAAAAAAACTAACTCCCGAAGATTTAGCACTCGGATCACTGCTGATTGAAAGTAAAAAATCTCGAAGAGACTTGATTGATTCGGCTTGGAATAGATATGCGTTTAACGATGAGAAATTACCCGATTGGTTTGTAAAGGATGAAGAAAAACATATGAAAAAAGAAGTGCCTGTACCTAAAGAACTTGCCGATGACTATAAAAAAAGAGTGGAGGACTTGAATGTAAGACCTATTAAGAAAGTAATGGAAGCTAAAGCAAGAAAAAAGAAACGTGCAATTCGCAAACTTGAGAAGGCCAAAAAGAAGATAGAAGCATTGATGGATAATGTAGATATCAGTGATAGAGAGAAGGCCAGACAAGTTAAAGCGTAAGTATGATTTTTTGTAGAACGTCTAATCTGATGATTTATATATTCTATATTCTAACTCGATTTTTTTATTTGATTTAAGATTATACAAGAAAGCTCGTCAGGAGCCAAAAAAGGAAGTTACGTATATCGTAGCAAAGAAACATACCGCGCAAAAGCGAGCCATTCGGCCTCCTGGTGTGAAAGGTCGATATAAAGTAGTCGATCCGAGGATGAAGAAAGATTTA